GAAGTACAAAACTGCATACCCGAAAATTTTTTAAAAATTCTGAATAAAAAGTTTGAAATTTTGATGAAATTTTTTCGAAGTTTAATTGATTTTTGTGAACTTTGTGCAAGCTTTGAAACTTTTATTTATGCGGTATATTTTAAACGAACATTTTTAAAAATAAATAAATACACATAAGCTGTAAACAATATCGTTTTGAATTTTGTTACTATCTCATTGAAATTTTTTAATTAAAATTTCTGTATTGACTGTTTAACCCAATTTATATTAACTCATATTTTATGTATATTACGATATCATTTTATTTTCTTTTGTTATTTTATTTCGTTTATTAGTTTTATTTTATTTATTTTTTTTTATTTTTATTTAGTTTTTTATTTTTTTTATTTCAAAAAATGCTTCTTGCAAAAGGGGGACGATATACATATGTACATACATTTAAACTAGTTGAATATGACTTTGCTGTATGGTTCCAAAAAATAATATCAAGTTTAAGGCAACACTGTCTTTGGTATCATGGCAAATGCGAACGACCCTAGTACACATATAGATATGTGTGTATGTATGTATACTGTTTTCCCAGAATCAAAAACTACGCATTTTTCATCTGGTCAGTTTCTTGGGTCAGTAGCGGTTGTGTGGGTGTGAGTGGGATTTTAAAATGAGAATTTTTCCAGCTCAGCTATAAACTCATTTAACTGAGTGAGATTTTGTTATTTTTTTCTTTTTTTATTCATAGTATGTTTGTACACATTTTTCTAAGGGATGCTAGCTGCCTCAAGGCAGTCTGGCCAGTACACACTTGCGAATTTTAATATGTAGTATATGCAAAAAATATTGTAATATGAAAGTGCATGTGGTGAGTGATGTGGGACGCGGAGGGTGATACACAATATATGTATGTAATGATATTCTTATTTGAAATGAAATAGCTGCGAGAAATCGATTTTTTACGGAGGAAAAAGTAAACATTGCATGTTTTTTATTTGATTTTTTATTTATTACGTTGAGAATAAAATATAGAAAAATTTCAAAAAATGTGAATGTATAGATACATACAAACATATGTATGTTTGAAATTGTAGGCTTTTCAGATTCTAATGCATGAGAAACATTTGGAATGAGGATTGCTCGAAATTTTAGTTAGCATCCGCTCTTCCAAAATCATGGAATTCTGATCTAGCATTTATATGAGTTTAAAACTGTTCAGTAAATTTCGAAATGGCCCCTACCTAGAAATCTTGCTGCGAAATTGGAAATTCTAATTCTGTTATTAGAAAATCAAAAAGCAGGTTTGCGCCCGATTTCTAAATTCTAGAAACTAGATGCTAAATTCTTAGTCCCATTACTTGGTTATTGTTCGACGCTTTCTTCGTCACGAACAGGGTTGCCACTTTGTTAAATTATTACCAAAATTGGTGGAAAAAATTTGGGTGAGTAAAAGTTAATATTTTTCCATTTTGGTACATTTTTGTTTAAGTTTTTTTTTTTTGAAAACAAATAAAACTTTTCGTTCCCGCTTTATCTTTTGTAGTTATTTTTATATTAGGATAATCCATCTAAAATGCCTCGTGACCATATAAACCACATAAACTTACTTAATTTTGTATGGAAAATCGGTTTATTAACGAGGTTTACACGGTTATGAGGCATTTACCCGTTTCAATGAATACCCAATTTCTTTCCAAAAGTGTAGCCTACTTCATTGCATTAATTTTCGAACGCTTTAATACACATTTTTTATATACTTACATATGCATGTATTTATATTGATATCGGGCTCCATTCAAAACTCATTTTACTGGAATGCTGAGGGGCTTTTGATTACCTAAATATTTTAAATATATTTTTTTATATATTGTTAAATGAAAAAAAAACACAAAAGACCGGCGGAAAAAATTTCAAATCAACGCGAATTTTTAGGTGCACATTGTTTGTTATACTAAAATTCAATGGGCTATAAAGCTGTATACCCAAAAATGTTCTAAAAGTTCAGAGTAAGAACTTCAAAATTTTTGGAGAAAATTTTGTTAAATTTTTCTAAATGTGTTATATAGCTTGAATCCTTAATTTTTATGGCTTTGGTTAAGGCGCAAATAATATTCTTAAACCAAAAATAGCAAAAACATGTTTACTTAAAATTTTTGAATATAAATATAAGCACCAAACGCTTTTTTGGGTCACTGTATTTATCTATAATGATTCCAGTTAAAGTTTTTTCAAATGACGAAATTTCGTTGTTGCCTTTAGTTTAATCTTTTTCGCCTTTGGTTTAAGGAAGCCTTCGAGGCCAGATCATTCGTTAAATAAAAAGTTCTTCAATAAAATATTTTAATTTTTATTGAAATAATTAAAAAATAGAACAAATCTATAGTTTTATTAAAATATTATTGGTAGATATTTTCCAGATTCCACTATCCCTTAGATGGAAATAATTTTCTCTTGTAGGCTGTGATTATTTTGTTCTCCATCGAGGTTAGAAAAGCTTCTTATAAAAACCATTTGTCTTCACTAACAGCCATGCGGCTATTAGCGCCCTGAGAAAAATGTTGCCGACTTAAAAAGTAAGTTGCTCAATGCTGCCGATCTTTTACCCTGGCCTTTGCGACATTAAGAGAAATTAAAAGGTATCCCTCTTCAAAAATATATTTAATTTTTTTTTTTATTGAATAACAAAAAAAATTTAGAAATTGTTAATGGCACATGGCAAGCGGAACCAACCTTTCATATTGACGGTACGCTCAATAAACGTCCAACGCACTAAGGAAGCAAGCAATACGTACAGTAACTGGAGCTCTTAGCGGAAGTTTCCTGGAACGACTACGCAAAAGCTGCATGGGCGAGGACGAAATGAAGCCATCCAACACCTTCTGAGTTGAGTGAGACCAAAAGCGCTTGACAGTTACTTATTTCAGGATCTTGATGACCTCAAAGTAATGGATGTTTGGAGCTTGCATCAATTGCTTTATAGATAAATGTAAATCGCATGCAGTATCACAAAGGACCCTGAGTCAAAGTGAGTGCCACAGCCGACTGCCGCCCAAACCTAACCTAACCTAACTTCCACAGCAATGGTAATGGTGTCGTATGAGCCTGGATCAATGTCGAGACATTTACGACCAGACCTGGTAGTGAAGAAATTGTCGTCACAGAAATTATTTAAAACTGCAGCTGAATAGTTAAAGGTAGTCTACATTGTGTTTTCTAAAACAGCTGATAACATTAATGCCTGCTTATTTACAAACACACAAACATGTAATCATCTGCTCATAGCTAACACCCTTCCACGCTCACTCAGTGATTAACGCTTATCACTAAGACCCTAAGCTGATATTAGCAACAAAGTATAGATGCGCTGCGCTAAAAAACTTTGACAATGTTGCAATTATGGAAAAATTGCACGTGTAACCTTACAAGCCACTAAAGCCAAGGTGTTCAATGAGCGTTCAATGCCCGAGCACGGGCGATAAAGTAGAAAGCATTTTTGTTTTTTTTTCAAAGTAATATGTAGCAATAAATGCAATTTTTTTCCTTACGACACAGATTGTGGGCCCTTAAAGGGCTTCTAAAGGGCTTTTGCCGCATCCACTGAAATTTCATATAAAAGCTTAGTAAAAATTGATCAACGACACATTTCACTCTGACTTGCAAAAGTGATCGATCAACATGAATCTAGTCAAGACTTTCGGTTTAGTGGTGTTGATTCTAGGCGCCGCAAGTGCCCACAATAATGACAAAAGACAAAATAACGCTGCTGCCTCGAATAGCATGAAGCCCACCGATTGGCTGTCAGTTTCCGAGCTGCAGGAATTGCCATCTGCGGACACCATCACTTTGCAGCAGTGGGAGAGTATGCCGTTGGAGGAGGCGGAACGGATGATTGAGAAAATTTGTAAGTGCGCCTGCCACTTGGGGACCTGATATGTTCTACTTATAATCATTACTTTTTAGATCATCTGTCTAAACTCGACCGCACACTACAACCATCGTTTGTGCCAAGCGCCAGCAATATGCCAGTGATCCTTATGAAGCCGAACGGTGAACGCATGGAGACCAAACTCAGTCAATGGGTTGAAAAAGCCAAACAACTACCCGAATTCGGCACAGATGAAGTAACTATCTTTATAACCGGCCTACCGCAATCCAGCTCTGCTGTGGCGAAGGCCAATAAGCGCTTGGTGCAGGCCTACATGGAACGCTACTATGGACAGCAAAAGCCTATGAACAACTTCCAGGATTCCGGTGAAAAATGGCCAGCCACTTCAAGCGAGGAAGACTATAGCGAATCGTGGAAGCAGCCGCGCCTAAACCGTGGCAATTTTATGGTGAGTTGCGCGCGATCGCAATCAATCTGTGCCGATTCCAATTAAACGCTTACTAACCTCTGCACCGCTTCTTTCTTTAATAGATCATTAATTTAGGTGCAATGCTGCCCAACATGCGCCGCTACGCGCTGCTTGATGTCGAACAAACTGGCGAAATGATTGGCAAGACACTCGTCCAATTGACCAACCAAGCTGATGTACCTCATGAGATCATACATTTGATTGGCCAAGGTATTGGCGCACAGGTAGCTGGTGCCGCTGCACGTCAATACAAACGTCAGACTGGTCATCAATTGCGTCGCATCACTGCCTTGGACCCCGCTAAAATGTTTGCCTGCAGCAAGAATATGCTTAGCGGTTTGGCTCGTGGTGATGCCGATTTTGTGGATGCCATTCATACTAACACCCGCGGTATCGGTACACGCGAACGTGTTGGTGATGTGGACTTCTTTGTTAATGGCCCAGCATCGAAGGCTCCTGGCGCTGATAATATTGTGGAGGCTTCTATGCGCGCTACACGCTACTTTGCCGAGTCCGTGCGCCCAGGTAATGAGCGTAACTTCCCGGCTGTGCCCGCTAGCTCGATGGATCAGTATGAGAATAAGGAGGGTAATGGTAAACGTACCTACATGGGTATTGCCGCCGATTACGATTTGAAGGGTGACTACATGCTCAATGTGAATGCCAAGAGTCCATTCGGCAAGAGCGCTCCTGCGTTGAAACAGGGAACCTATCATGGCATGCATGAATCATGGAAACACAACTAAGAAGCCATGAGTCTAGAATGCTGAAGTAGAGTCAGTTGAAATTGATCTCCGGGTTAATATTTCTATAATTTTGTATTTTCTTTTGTAAAAAATTTAAGAACGAAATAAAAGAAAGATTTTAACAGGCAAATGCATAATGTATTAAATTTTGGAAAGCACGATTGCCATACGAACTAATGAAAGTATCCAGAAATGCTCTAACTAGATTATGCGAAAAATTCTGCTTTGACGACTTAAACAAAAAAAAATGAGAAGGCTTCAGCTACTTTAGAAAGAACTGCTCCAACTAAGATTAATAGACCGGTTCGCTTCGGCGACGGGTACAAAAGACTCTTCGTCCAAAGCGGCAGGCGCTTGTAGTGCCACAGGAGAAGAAGTCTGCTCCAAGATATAATACAGAGCTGATGTCAGCTGGCATCTGAAGGAAAATTAATTTTCTCTAACGTCTGGGGAGTACAGCCAGGCTCTCGCAAAATCTCTGCAAAGGGGCCAAACCTGCAGAGAATTTAGTACTTTGAGGATATTAACCAGGAAACTGATTGTCTGAGTGGCGATATGTAGGCCACTTTACACAATTGAAGGCTCAGATTCATTAGGAACTGTTAGAAGATCCCATCACCTCAGAAACCTAAGCCTAAGCAACAAGTAAGCTCAGCGAGTGTTTGGTCGGGTACCGTGTCATGTAAATTTGAAAGGTTTTTCTGATTACAGATTAATGTTATCCGGACAAAGGAGTTCTGAAACTTATAGAGACGGTAGACAGTGCAAAAATGCACTGGACAAACTAGGCACGGGTAATAGGGTTTCTTGTGATAGGTCTCGTGCCGTAAGAGCATTGATAGCACCGAAAATGCTTATACTCCCACAAAATGCGGAGCCCAACGAAGCTTGTGTGGGCTCTAGGCTTTCTGTGGTCCATCGAAGGAACACACGGCAGAGATTTTAAGAAGTTAGAAGGACTATCTCATTGAGTCTCCAAACGCCTGCTTAATTTTAGCCGAGAGGGTCTAAGCACTTCATCCTGACCTGACTTTATAATGAGACGAGTTGCTGGTTTGTACCAAAACGGACGATTCTTTTTATCCACTTAAGCGCGACCTTTATGCAGGAGCTGCCCCCAATTTAAAATATCCGAATTTAGTCTGTATGATAAGTATATTGCTCGAATTTTAAAAGCTTTGGATGACACGGGCTTGATCGAAAATTATTTCAAGCGATTTTGGCTCTGACTTAATTAGTTTTCACGATAACCTCGCAAAGTTTCTTCAAAGCAAAAAGTGAGGGAGGGGTTTAGTGAGCTTCTTTAATAACAAAAACAAGAACAGAGGTATGTACGAGTACTTTCCACTGAGGTTGTGCTTCAAGTTCATACACTATGGCTGATGTGGTCGTCGAGCTCTGTTGTCTGTTTTCTTGTAGGATGTTGCCATTTGGTTTCTGAGTGTGCAATATTCTACAAAAAGGCGCGTATCGACTGATATCGTCTGAGATAGTCTTCGTGCTCATGCCCTGTATAGTTATCGAGGTCACACTACCTTGCCCTTCAGCCTCTGTCTAAAATTGGTGCTCGACCTATGTAAGGAATAATTTCTTCAATTAAATCGCCTAGTTAAGTATTTCACTCGTTAAGCAAAGTTAGTAATTTCTAAGCCAAACATACTTTAAAAATAAAGTATCTCAAAAGATTTTAATAACTTTTTTTTTATAAGAGGGATGGTGTCCATATGCATTCAGTTTGAGGGTACGTTGGACCGCAGCTCGCCACTGTTGGTTTTGTGGGTAGAAATTCCAACCCAACCATAAATTAAATAAAAAAATCAATATTTTCTAAGCCTTTGTGGTACGCATACATGCCGACTAAAAGAAAATCCGGCCTGCAAGCGGCACATGTGGTTAATCTTCGCATAAACAAATTTCCATAAACACCACAATGGCTAAGAATACGAAAGTAACTGTAAATGAAAGCAAAACGAACAACAAAAACAATGGCAGGCCAAAACCGAAACTAATTTATTTCTATGCCACAAGCCGCTCACCTCCCACCGCCACCCAACACCAGCTACTGACCAAATGAAAGCAAGCTCGCCTCGACTACAATTGTGTCTGCGAAAATCCTGGGTATTATTATTATTTTATTTATTATTATTATATTTTTTCGCAATACACACTTTTTTATGGTCATCCTCCCAGCTCTGCAAAATGTCCAGCGAATTTTCATTATTATGCGTACAATGCCACGCCACGCACAAGGACACGCGCGCCTGCGTGCGCCTAAGCGGGAAAAGGGTTGCTGCGACAGCCTTCTTTATACTCGTATCAGAATTTTCAGCATACGCAAGGAGTTGGAGTATTTTCTTTACATTACAGGCAGCATCATGAGACACAGAGCGGCTGCTACTGCCTACCACTACCAAACTTCCACCCAGTGGTTAGGCGGAGAAAGTGACCAGCTCACCGACGGCTGCGGCTGCGGCAACGGCTGTAACTGATGTTTCCTCGTTTTTTATGAATATTCTTTTTTATATCTTTTCACTGAATCCTTTGCATTTCACATTACCACCCACTTTCACACAACCCACACCCCACATCAGCAGCAGCGGCCGTCCTGCTGTGTCTGCTGCTTTCACTGCTGTCGGTCGCTTCGTTTTCTTTGCCTTTAGTGGCTGTTGTTCCAATTTTGTTCGCGCTGCTTTACTATCACTGGTCATTCTCTGTAGTTCTGCAGCGTCACCGTTTCGACTCAGCGCAGCCTCCCGCATTGTCCTTGCTGTCCTTTCACTCGCCCGCAACGAAAGGGTTTATTTTTCTCTGTCCGTTTTTTACTTTGCAGTTTGCGAATAATAAAAGACGCCTTGCCTTTCACTGGCAATTCCAACTGCATTCCACAGTCTCTCGATCCCCGCTCAATACCTTCGACACATTTGCTTTTTGTTGTCCAGTTGTCCTTCTAAAATTCTGCCACCCTTCGACCTTTTGTACGCGTTGCTTGGCCGCCTGTTTTTTTTTTATGCTTTTTGGCCAGCAGTTGTCCAGCTGGGTTGCTGCTGTAAACATTCTTTTTATACTCATCTCTTTCGCTCTTTCTGGTCGACTCGCTTTTTATGTGTTTCCTTATGATTTCTTATCAGTATCCAGCACTCCTTTTGGCTCATCGTTTGCTTGCTTTTTATCTTCTTTATATAACACTTTTTTTTGTATATTTTTACTTGTTTTGATAATTTAATCCTCGTTTTGATATTCCTCCCCTTTAATTCATATACGTTTTACATTTTTTTTGGTTACTTTTTGTGTAGAAAATTTTCTTTGTGAAAATTCTAAATTGAGTTGAGTTTCTTACGCATTTTGACATCTGTTTCTGTCGTCCTTTTCTTGCTCGTCTTTCTTATGGCCAACTTAGGCGTATCGATCGTCTAAGCTCTACTGCCCTGAATGACCATTTCAATTTCTTTTAAGGTGTCCTTTGATGAGGCATACTTCCTTTATTTCTCAGCCCATAAAAGTTATTTGAATTACGGAAAATATTCTTTAATATGCATGTGAAAGGAATTAGCAAGGATTTTAGGCTTTAAAGCGAGCTGAGAAGCAAATTTAATTTCAACGTAGTGATTTGTGATGGGATGAAAATAATGGAGCAGAATCGCCTTAAGGCATATGTATATACATAAAGATATTTAAAACTGAACACTCGAACTGAACTATCGAACAACTTCTATCTTATTAGGAATAGCCCACTAAAATTCTAAATATCTTATGTTCAGGTACTGTAGACTGATGTATGTAAAACTCAGGAAGGTTCGGGTGTCGAAGGATTGACAAACATTGGGAGCGAGAAACCTAGGTTGGTGTAACGAAAGCGAACAAAATGGCAGCCGGTTTCCACGGTTCACGTTCCTTATTTTTGCCTCATATTCATTGGGTCGTATGCATAAAAAATAAGCAATGGCGTTTTCTTAAAATTTCATACCTTTCACTTAAATTTATTTGCACGAATTGAGCAAGAGGCTTGAAATTTTAATTAAAAGCATTTGCTTAGGTTTGGACGAAAAACATTTTTAATGAAAAAAAAATCATCAGAACAAGAATTTTTTTGAAAATTTGAAGTTTTAGAAATAATATTTTTCTAAAAACACTAGTGTTTAGAAAAAATAATTTTTATAAAAAAAAAAAACAAATTAGAAAAAAATCAGTGTCTTATGAAAAATATGCTTACCCAGATTAGAAAAAAATTAAAAAAAACATAAACAAACAAAAAATATATATTTTTGGCTAAAAAATATTTCCTTGGGGATTTTTGTTTTGGGCAACCACAATGTTTGGTGAAAAAAATTTCAGGAAAAAACTTGGAAAAAAATTTAGAAAAATCGTTTATAGAAAAAAATTTTTTTTAAATATCCTATGCATTTTTTACAATTTTTTGCCCGTAAACGATTTTTCTATTTTTTTTTAAATTAAATATTTTTAGAAAAAAAAATTTGGAAAAATATTAACTTTTATTTAAATTGAATGAACATTTTTTGCGAAAATAAAATTTTTAAGAAAAAATAGTTTTCTTAGACTAAATTTGTTCACCCATATTTAAAAAGCGTTACCAAATATAGAAACAAGAAGATTACACCGGCACACAAAAAAATAATCGAATGCGAAGAATGCCACATGGTAGGCTGTCTTCCTCGTGGGGCATCTAAAAACCTGTAGCTGGTCATACCTCGGGATTGGTTCTTTACGTCTCTTTATGTTTTCGAGAAAATTCGATCAATTTAAGAAAGAACATCCACCATTTTTGATCAGTCATCTCAAATTTTTCAAATATATGTACATACATATGTATGTGCTAAATATTCATGTATGAAGAGGAACTCAATCTGAATAAATGGTAAGAACAAGCGAAATTTCAGTCTAAGTCCAAAAAAAACAGTGAATTCACTGACAAATAAATATCTCTAACTACACCGTCCTCCAGTCCTGTAAAATGGGGCAAAGAACCAATCTCGGGGTAGGACCACCTAGACGTCTTCAGACATACCACAAAGAAGAGAACTAGTAATCATTTGACAGTCTTCGCACTCGACCTTTTTTGTGTGCCAGTGTTGTTTGTGGACAAACAATTATTTTTTTTCGAGAGAAAACTAT